TACATGCTGGGAAGGATATAACAAACCTGTCCACATTTTGGCAGTGTTTCCCATAGGTTCCATAGAACTGCGCACGTACTAAAGAATGTGCAACTCTCACTTCCCGTCTTGCTCTTATGCATTTCTGTAGCTAGTAATGAGTCAACTCTTTGCAGAAAACAAAACACAGGAAAAATGCAATCAAAAAGTAGTTCTACTCAGCCAAATTAGAAAGAGCATGCAATAGACCATCACAACCCCCAAAGTAAACATAGTTACATTCTCCCATCTGTTTATCCAAGGTCCACCACAACTCATAGAATTTGGAGTTGAAGCATTTCAATTATAAATATTGAATTTTTCCCCACAGAGGATTCAACCACATTTGGCAATGCACCACTCCATGGAACCACTCCCCCCAAATTGCAATGTATAAAAAAATATTGAATTTCTTCCATAAATCATCCAATAAATACCATAATTAAATTCAAAAGCATGAAATCTTCAATAGACACAATCCAAAAACATTATGAATCCAAAATCAGTATATAAATCGCTACCAAATTAGCTAGCATAAACATGACACAAATAATTTCAGCACACCAATTTCATCAAATACCCTATATTCCACACCCATCTCTCACGCCTATCTATATAAGGAATAAAAAGAAAATAAATTGCCAGATTCGATTCAGAGCAAAACATAACCTGAATTTTGAGAGCAGCTTTCGAGTCCCGTTGCAACTGGAGACGGTGATTGCGCTTCAATCGCAGTTGCTCCATAAGTGTATCTCTATGCATCTCCTTGGGGCTCCTTCCTCTCAAATTCACTCGCTTCCGAGTGGTCGACTCACCATTGAAAAACATTTGAGATTGCATCCTAGTTCACACTCGCCACCTAGTTCTTTTAACAATTTCAATGGTACTTCGCAAATTGGGGAAGTCAAAATGGGTCAAAATTTGAAGGGGCGGCAGAGTCGAAACTACTAAAAAGTTTTGTAAGCTGAAATTTTGAAGACGAGGAGGAAAGATCAGGTCTGTGAAAGAAAGCAGGGGAAGTTTCCCTCTTTTAACTTGCTAGCTACTTTACCGATCTAAATGGTACTTTGCAAATTGAGAGAGTCGGACTTGATAATAATTTCAAGGGATTTTAGATGGTGGAATTAAAACTTTCAGAGATTCTCGTTTCTGGAGGCTGTAGTATCGCATTGAGGCAGAACTGGAAGTTTGTGCGGGGGAAGAAAGGGCCTTTCGCGCCTTTTATATGCGTTTGGCTTCTAGATGCTCAGAAGTAAGAACGAGGCGCTATGGGCCCACAAGTAATGTCATGTTATTTTGTCTTCAAGAAGATAAAAGCTTAAATTAGAATTTTGCACTGATTTCTTAACTTAACACATTTTTAGTCCTCAACTTGGAAATTCTGCAATAAACTCCATTGACGGCACGCTTACGTGGACTGATTACAACAGATAATGGTATTTTTCCAAACTTTATATTACGTGGATTTTACACACAGGACGATGCGTTGAGTTGGAGAAAATAAATAGGAAAATGATTGAAAGAGAATTCTTTAAAGAAAAAAATAATGTGATATTCATTTAACTAGTAATATTTTAAATTTATAATTTTATATAATATTATAATTGTAATATTATTGATTTTTTCATATAACATTTTCAAGATAACCTTAAATATCATAAACGATTAAGTTTTCTTACTCAACTTAGACTTAAAATATTGTATGAATTTAATATTTTAATAATATATAAAAATTATATTAAAAAATTTAAAAATCTTAGTCTGTTTTTTCCATAACATATATTTTTTAATTTCTCACCAGCCAAAGTGAAAATTCAAACAATTAAAATCAACTGTAAAATAAATATATCTCAAATTCCTCTCAGAATCATCCTGGTTCTCTTATGTAAGCAAATCCCAATAGAACCTGCAAAAAATCCCATCAGTAAACCTTAAACTACTCCCTTCGAACACTGCTCAAATCTCACCCGATTGTTCCGAAATCCGATCACAGAAAGGCATGAAAATCCCTATCCATGGCGAGCTCAAGTCGAAGCCTCCTTTACGTTGCCCCAAAGCGCTTCCACCTGCCACAGAAACACTCAGGCTTCCCTGGTTCTGATCTGAAAGTCCAAATTACATTCAATTGATCTAAAAGGTTTTCAAACCCACATATCAAAAGGCACAAATTGATGGTTTACAGGCAATCGAGCTCGCGGTGTGTGATTGGTTCCCTCCACTGCGAGCTCCCCGTCCCATGACGGAGTTTACACTCACAAACGACGTTGCTATCACAGGATGGTTCCATTGCGCCAGGCGAAATACAGGTTCCTCAAGCAGCAACAAAACCCACCATCGTCGTGTGATGGCGAGAAAGTTGTACGGTTAACCTTCGATACAAGAATTCAAGCGGAGAGGGGAAGATGGAGGTTTAAGGAATGAGACAAACCCCTTGAAGGGCAAATTTAAAACTTTAATTTATTGGGTTAAAGCCAACTGTAGTCCTTGTACTTTATGAAAATGTTCATTACAATCCCTCTACTAAGGAAATGTTCAATGTCATCCCTCTACTTTTCTTACACCATAAATGCCATCCCTCTACTATCCTTTTTTTGTTCAATGTCATCCTTAATTGGATGCCATCCATTTTGCTGTTAACTTTGACAGTTAATTGCTTAACGGTCAAATATTCAACTTTTGTTTATGAATTTTTTTAAGAGCACATATTAATGATATTTTTTTGTAATAAATTTGTATAAAAAACTATAAAAGTAAACATTAATTTTAGTATTATTGTCACATAAATAAATTTAATTAAATAGTTGATAAATTAAATATTATTTTAAAAAAAACTTTTAACCGGTACCCTAAAAACACAAATTAAAATAACTTTTAAGACATAAATTAGAATAATTTTTTGTTTATTAATTTTTTATTAGATGATTTAATTATGGTATTTATTAGATGATTTACGGAAAAAATTCAATATTT